GAAGGGTGTAGGGGCAAGATAATAAGCTCAGTTTTGGATATTTTGAGTTTAAGATGTCTCTGGGATGTCCAGTGTAAGACTTTTAATAGAGATAGGAGACTGGAAGTCAGGGGAGAGGTTTTGGGGCTGGATAAGTAGATTTGGAAATCATCCCACATAGAGATGATAATTGGATCCATGGGAGCTGATGAAATCACTAAGTGAAATACTAAAGAAAAAAGAAGGTGCAAGACAGAGCCCTGTAGACACCCACTACTAGCAGATTTGACTTGAACAAAGATCTAGCAACAGAGATTGAAAAGGAGTGATCAGATAGGACGAGAACTAGAAGAAAGTAGTATCGTGGAAATAGAGAGAGGGAGGGAGGGAGGGAGAGAGAGAGAGAGAGAGAGAGAGAGAGAGAGAGAGAGAGAGAGAGAGAGAGAGAGAGAGAGAATGAATATTAGGAAGAGGGTGATTACCAGTGTCATAAGTTTCAGAGAGGCCAAGAAGGATGAGGATTGGAAAAAAAGGTCATTAGATTTTGCATTTAAGAGATCAATGACAACTTTGGAGAGAGCAGTTTCAGTTGAATGATGAGGTTAGAAGTCAGACTGTGTTAAGAGAGTGAGAGAAAAGGAAATGGAGAGATCCATGAGACATCCATGGATGACCATTTTGAGGAATTTAGGTACAAAAAGGAAAAGAGATATGGAACTAGCTATTGGGAAAGGACAGATCAAGTAAGGTTTTTTGAGGATAGGGGAAACATGGGCATGTTTGTAGGCAGTAGGAAAGCAGCCAGTAGACATAGAGATCCTGAAGAGAAGTGAGAGTGAGAATGGTAGAAGGGCCAGTCTGCCGCAGAAGACAAGGATGGAATGGGATCGCCTGTGCATGTAGAGTGGTTTGCTTTGGCAAGTGAAAGGCCTCCTTTTCAAATGAGACAGGGGTGAAGAAGAGAGCAAAAGAAGGCATCTGAATAATGTGATATGAGAAAAAGAAAAGGAGTTCTTAGTGAGAGACCTCAATTTTTTTCAGTGAAATAGGAGGCAAAGTTCGCAGCTGAGAAACTGGGGAAGGGGAGCCATAGGAGGTTTGAGGAGGGATCAAAGTTTTGGAAAAGCCTCTGGTGAGTGGGATAATGAGTCAGTGAACATATGAAAGGATTGGCTTGCTACAGTAAGGGACCAGTTGAGACTATGTAACATAAATCTATAGGGGATCCAGTCGACCCAGTTCTGTGGTTTTTTTCCCTCTCTAACTTTTAGTAGCATGTGAGTATGAACAAATACAGCAGACGTTGGGACTAATCTAAGGCTCAGACTTGGGAAGTAGGCTAAGGAGGAAAGTGATTTAACGGGAGAGTGTAGCTTTGTGCTAGTTCACCAAGGGGTCAAGATGGGGAAGGGAAGAAAGTATAGCTAGCATGAGTGATGGCCTGGGAAACAACTGGAGGGTGGAGGAATTGGAGGTCACGTGGTAAGAACAAAGAACAGAGTTCAGGGTTACAAGGCAGAGGGAGAGGTGGAATGACAACAGATTGTGATCAGATAAGGGAGTTTCATAGTTCAGAAACATGGAAGTGGTGCATTTGTGGGTGATGGCAAGATCAAAGGTATGGACATCTTTATTTGTAGCTGAGGTGGGATGGAAGAGCAGATCATGGGAAATGAGTAAGTTGATGAGGTTAGGGTACCTGAAGGAGTATCATTATGTCTTCTATCATGAGGGCAGTTGGGGAGGAATGAAAGACTGTGAGCCAGAAGAAAGAAGGGGAGGGTCCTGGAGGTCCATAAACAACTTTTATTAGAATTTTGATTGGGTTGTAGATATGGATTGAGTGAAGCTCAAAGGAGAAGAGGCTACTGAGTGAAGGGGGTAGAGTGAGAACTTGGAGTGGCAGGGGGTGGGAGGAATATTCTGACTCCTCCGCATTGACCAGTGAGCTGGAGGGAATGAGTGTAAGTGAAATCAGTGCTGTGATGGCTGTGAAGGTGACCATCAAGCTGTGTCATCAGAAGGGAGCCAGGTGTCAGAGCCAAAAAATGGAAGGAATGGGAAAGGAAGAGCTTTAGGATGAAAGGATGGCTTTTATCTATGGAGTATTCATGCCAGGGAAAGAGTGAGACATTGTGGGGTTTGGGTTGAAGGGGATTGGGAATAAGGGCCTGGCCAGTGGGAGACTGAGAACAGTTATGAATCACTGGGACAAGGAAGAGATGAGCAGGTGGGATTTTGTTAATCAGTGAGGAACAAGTTCAAGTAGGTATATAAAAGATAACTGTATTTGAAAAGCTGTTACCCCGAAGAAGTATTAGACTTGCTCTGGCCTTCTCTCTGTCCCTGAGACACAGCTTTTCGTGTCTCATCTCTTTGCCTTGCACTGACCATCCCACATGCCTGGAATGCATTCCTTTTTTACCTCGGCCTTTCCTGGCTCCCTTCCTTCCCCTCTCCTCAACTGCTAGTGCCCTCCTTCTTAAATGATCTTTTATTTAACTACCTTGTATGTATTTGCATTTATATTGTGCTGTATACACATAGATATAGCTGTATATCATACATAGTCTCTCTCATTAGAATGTAACTCTTTCTGAGCAAATATTGCATTGTCTTTGTGCTTGTATGTCTAGCACATGGCACATACTTGATATTTAATAGATAACTTGCTGATTGATTTCTGCCTAGCCACAGAAGACAGAACTGGCCAAAGGTTGCAAAGAGGCAAATTATGCCTCTTAAATTATGCCTTATAAGGAAAATCTTCATCATAGTTAGACCTATTCAAAAGTTGAATGGATTACCTGGGGAGGTCTTAATAATATTATTAATAATAGAAGGCATTTATATACCATTTTAAGGTTGGAAAAGTACTTTACATATATTATCTCATTTGATCCTCACAACATCCTTTTTTACAGATGAGAAGACTTTACAGATGAGGTTTAGAGAGGTGTGGCTTGCACAGGGTCACATATCCAGGCAGTGTCTAGGGTAGGATTTGAATTCAGGTCTTCTTCCTGTACTTTAGGAAAATCACATTAGTAGCTGAATGGAGAATGGATTGGAATGAGGAGAGGCTCATGTCAGGCAGACCTACCAGCAGGGTATTACTCCAGGTGTGAGGTGATGAGGGCCTACACCAGGGGAGTAGTAGCGTCAGAAGAGAGAAGGGAGAAGAGGAGAGGATAGCATGTACATAAGAATACACAAAATAGGTACAGTGGGATTTGCAGGGGAGGCATTCATCAGAGCTGGGGCTTCAGGAAAGACTTTCTGTACAGAAGCTGGCTGAACTGAGTCTTGAAGGAAACTAGAAGTTGTAAGAGCTGATACGAGTTTTGTCAATAAGCAGAAACCACCAGTGGTGCTGGATGGAATGTCTGATTGATTGACACTTCACTGAGTAGAGCTGGGCTTCCTTTGATGGGATGGCTCTGGGAAACTTATTAAGGTTTCAGGGAATGCCAGATAATGGAGAATTATTGCACACATTTTTATTGTTCTAATTTATGAGGCGTGTGCCTGATGAGGTGCTTGGCAGCAGCCTGGGAAAGCTCTCAGCTCCTAAAGGTGTTGAAGTTTAATTGCTTGGAGAAGGAGGTGGGATTTAGCCAGTTCTTTCACTGGTTGTCCCTTTAAAGGCAGTTACAAATCCTTTTGTTTCCAGGACACCGATGGGGGAAGTACCTGGTCGTTTGTAGTACGTTGCATGTCCTGTGGAGGATTCCTAGGAGGCTAGAATTGGAAGAGTCCTGAGAGTGCTAGAACATAGATTGTAGACCGGGGAGGTATCTGAAGACACGGACTTTTGGACCACAGAATGTCAGACCTGAAGGGATCATCTGATCCCAGCTCATAGGTTCAGAGTTACACAGGTAATATGGATCAGTTCTGAGAGTTCAACCCAGGTCTTTTGACTCCAAATCTGGGACTGTTTACACTGACTTGTATTAAAGAGCTAGGCATTTGCTAGAATGATAATCTCACTTCTCTCCCTTCTTCTTTTCTGAGTACCTAGTAAGAATTTCATTCTTATGATTTAGCTTTTAGTTCATTGTGCCTTTATGAAAGGAGGATTGTGGAACTTGACGAAATAGTTTGCCTTGGCCCTTAGAGACACCTCTGATGCCCTTAGTGTTCTGCCCAGCTATTCTGTGCCAACATGGGAGAGTGGAGAGAGGGCTGGACTTGGAATCAAGAAGACATGGATTTGAATCCTTCCTCACACTTCCGCCACAGTGTGCCCCCCAGGCAATTCACTTAATTTCTCTGGGCCTTTGTTCCCTCACTTGTTGAACAGCTGGGTTGGAGTAAATGCCTTTTCAGGTCCCTTCCATTGCTAAATGTGTTGTCCTGTGATCTTCATTGAAAAGCACTGTCTACAAAGAATTTTAGTTGTTCTTTGTCAAAAACGTTGGTGCCAGCATGGCCTGCTGATGGTAGCTCTAGACTTCAGGAGACCTGGGTTCAAATCCTGCCATTGGTACTGTGGGGAGAGTGGGCAGATCACTTTCAGCTTCAGTTTTCTCATCTGTCAAATGAGGAGGTTGGATTAAACGATTTCCAGCTCTGACATTCTTTTCTCAACTGAGTTACGGAGAAACAGAGGGTGTGTGAGAGGGGAATGCAGGAGTGTCGTAGACATGGACTTTTTTGAGATGAATAAGGAGCTGCCAGTGTTCTGTTCTGACTTCAGCCAGTTTAAATGTAGGTTTGTGGTTTGCTTTTGGGGGCGGAGATTAGACTTGCCTCTTTTGGATGGAAACAAGTCTCCATTAATTGTTATCTTAATTCTTTAAGCTAACTCCCAAGAGGTCAGGCCAGTACTCCTTAGCTATGGCGATAAAGGCAGAACTCCTGTAGTCAGACCAGAAGTGGGAAGGGTGGGCTTTGCCAAACCTAGCTCAGAACGTTTGTCCCCAGGCTTATGAACCCAATCTTTGGGTTCTCACGTGGCTCATGTGAAAAGCCAGGTAAGGATCCTGTGTGAGTGTCCTTTCTGCTCCGTGTTTCAGGACCAGTCCATCATGCCTGAAGTCAAAGACCTCTCGGAAGCCCTGCCTGAAATGCCAATGGACCCCATTACAGGAGTCGGAGTGGTCGCTTCCCGGAACCGGGCACCCACAGGCTATGATGTAGTAAGTAAAGACTGTCCTCTGTACATTCTACAGGTATTTCTTGCACATATCTTTGGCTTCCACATTACGTCCTCCTTGGAGATTCCCCTTATCCTGTCAGCTGAAAATGGTAGTCTGTGTTTCCTTAGTCTTTTCCTAGATTTGTGCTTTCTCACTGTCATGCTTGTGTACGTGTCGCTTTCTCCCCTCCCTTCACTAGATCTGGCATGATCAAATTGGTATATAGGAGAGATTTGACTGATTCTGGTATGTGTGTGTGTGTGTGTGTGTGTGTGTGTGTGTGAGAGAGAGAGAGAGAGAGAGAGTGTATATTGTATATATGTATGTATGTATGTATGTATGTATGTATTGTGTATGAATAAGGGACGGATTGGAGCTGGGGGAAAATAAAAGTGCTGAAACACTAGGGTGGCCGTTGCCAGGGTTGTGCTGGTTAATGTATAACAGCTGGCTATCTGGGGAAAAAAAAAGGATTCATGACACAGTTTTAACAAAATCATAAGTAAAACCTTGATATATAGTATTTCCTGATTTCTGAAATATAAATGTTCACACTGTAAATTTAACAATCAGCTCTCACTAGCTGAGCTGGCTCCAGCACCCCCCTGGCTGTTTGTTACCCAGTCATGGGATTACTGAGCATCTGTACTAGTATGATGACAGTGGGAGGAGAGGGGAGGGGAGCAGATGTGAGAGGTTTTAAAATATAACTACTAATCATCATGTCAGTAGTGGGGGAATTTACCCCCAGCTTTCCTTTTTTTTTTTTTATAGTGTGTTAGAATTGGTTATGCTGTTAGATTATTAAGTAAAATTTGACAATACTTTAGATAAGTATTGGCTAATTTTAAGAGGGATTTCATTTTTAGTAAAAGTTAACAGCATTCAGATCATCTGAGGTCATCTTATTTTTGCATCCGTTTTCCTCTTTATTATTAATGATACTCTAGTATACTGCAGATGTGCAGCAGAAATACGCATAAAGACCTGCCAGTAAAGATGTACCAGTAAGGACCAGCCAATCTGGGTAGAAAAGACTGTTTCTGGGTGAAGAATTCAGGTACTATCCCAGTCCCACTGTAGTATACATTTTTTGATAAGAAGATAAAATATTTAGGTGCACGTGTCCGTCAGTGCTGCCTATTGTTAGAGGAAAGAGAGAAAATGGCTAGATGTTTCATGTCTATTTTTTTCTTCAACTGGTTGAAAGCCAGTGATAATTTCAAAGGAAATTCACTCTAAGAAGTATTAAATGCCAACTATGTGCCAGGCAGGTACTATGCTGCACACTGGGATTACAAAAATAATACTAGCATTGCATAGGTTTACAAAGTGCTTTACAAATAGCATGTCATTTGATCCTTGCAACATCCCTGAGAGGTAGGTGCTATCATCTGTGCTTTACAGATGAGAAAACAGACAGAGATTAAGTGTCTTGCCAAGGGTCACTAGGCCAATCACAAGCCCAGTAAGTGTCTGAGGCTGGATTTGAACTTGGTCTTCCTGACTCCGGGTCTAGTATGCTATCCACTTTGACACCAAACTCCTGCTTAAGGGGAAGTAAGACACAGTATTTTCTCTTCTTAGAGGGTAGGAAAGGGGAAGTGATATGAAATACACCCACATATGTATTATTTAAGGTAGAATATAATGGCTAAGTGACCCCGAAAAAACTTTAGGAGGGAGAGATGACTTTCAACTCAATGGAGGAGATAAAGCTCTTGGAGGAGTTGGCACCTGAGTAGGGCATTGAAGAGAAGTAATACATAAAAGGACAGGCCTTGGGGAAAGCTATTTTTACAGAGAGCTTTGAATCTGAACTACTTTCTGATTTCAAAGCACTGATTGAATATATGACTTATTAATAAACTCTTGGAGGAATAATAAAAATGTTACTTATCCAAATAGAGAATATTTAGGCAGTGTGGTTTAGTGGGTAGAGAGCTGGTTTTGAAGGCAGGAGGACCTGTGTTCAAGTTCTGCCTCTGATGCATACTGACTGTGTGACCTTGAACAAGTTGTCTGTCTTTTTAGTGCTCTAGACAACTCCAAAACTGAGTTGAATAGAAGGTATTTACCTGCATTGGCAGGAGGAATTTCCTCATTTGGGAGTTCCTTATGCCAGTGAAAGCACAGGTCTACTCCTCATATCTATCCATTTACTTGAAAGGGTCCATGTGGAGGGTGTGTCCACACTGCCAAAATAATGATCTCTCTGACTCTTAGTTTCTTCATTCTGTCCTTTTGAACAAGTGGATATAAGGAAGCAAGCCATGAATCAAGTGGAAAAATACGAGGTTATCTGTGAGACACTGCGCTGACGCTTCATCCTTGGGAGGGCTTCTACTGACTGCATCAAGTATCTTGGGGAATGGAACTGGATAAGGAACCTGACCTTCTGCCCATTTCTTGATATTCTGCTTTGACAAGTACATAGTTTGTTTACATAATCTTTTCCCCAACAACCTGCCCCTCCTCTCAGCTTCTCTCTTTCTCTAGTTAGCTCCCTATGTCCCAACCATCTAGGCTTGAAATGTTGAAGTTTTCTTTGCTTCCTTCCTAACCGTGTCTAATCAGTTGCCAAATCTTACTGATTCTACCTTGACGTTATTTCTTGTGTTTATACTCATTTTTTCATTTCACTGGCATTGTGTTTGCTCTAATTCAGGCTCTCTATCATCTCTTGCCTGGACCCAACATAGCAGCCTCTTAGGGGGCCTCCTTTCCTCCAATCTCTCACCTCTTCCAGCTCATCCTTCCTGTTGTTGCCAGAATAATTATAGAGATTGCATTATTCTTCTACTTAACAACCTTCATGCTGCATGGCTTCCTGTTGTCTACTGGAAATAATTGCAAGGACCTTCGCTTGGCATTTCATATCCTCTGTAGTGGTTCCAAGTGACTTTTCTAGCCTTATTTCACATTATCCTCTCTCTCCACTCACCAGTTCCAACGAAGCTATACCATTCATTGCTCCTGTCTTGTGCAGACTCCTGCCATGTGAATATTCTGTTCTCCGTGCCTGAAATAGACTTGCCCCACATCTACATCTATTAAATTCCTTCCCTTTCTTAAAAACCCAGTTCGAGTACCATGTTCCAATAATTGATTCTTCTCTACCTCACTTCTCTCCAAGCTGTCCTATGCACTTGTCACATACTAATGTGTTTTACAGTTATTTGTGTACCTGTCTTATCTCCCTACTAGATTGTAAGCTCTTTGAGGACAAGGACCTTGCCATTTTTCGTATTTGTACTCCCAGCATGGATAATTGCAGATGAGCATGCAATAAATATTTGTTAAATTGAACTTTTGGTATATTGGTTGCTTTTTCTCCGTTATCTTAATTGGCTAGTTTAGGGTTTGTAGGTAATAAACTAACTTTTTGTTTTCATCTTCAGGAGGTATTCATAAATCGGAGGAACAGAATTTAACCTTGCCTTAAACTTTCTCTGAATTCTCAGTTCATTGCCAGTGAGCTTATATTAACGAAGACTGATATTTGCAAAGAACTTTATGTATGTTATTTCACTTATGTCTCACAACACCCCCCCCATAGGTAATACAATTATCATCCCCATTTTACAGATTAGAAAACTGAGGCTCAGAGAGATTAAGTGACTTGCCCTAGTTCACATGGAGACAAACACAGCAAATGTTTATACAAGGAAATGACAAAAAATTCTCACTCTCACTATGATGTAAGAAGATGGGTTTGGGGCATGTTTTTTTGCTGTCCAAAATATAGTACCAAATCCAAGATGTTTTGCTGTTGATAGACATGCATAATAAAGGCTGGAAAATGGGCCAAATGGGTGGAGAAAAATAAAAAATAACCGTATCTCTTAGACTTGCCATTTGCACTGCCTCAAATTCTTTTTCATGATGATCCAGAAAGGATCTTAGGAATTTCTAACCCCAAGTTAGATAGTTATTTGGGATAAAGGACTATGATCTTATCCCTAAATACAAGATTAAAGAGAAAAGACAATCTTAGCCTTAGAGAAACTCTGCTTGACTTTTGTTAGCTGAGTATGAGTTGGTATAATTAAAGAGTGGTGAGCCTCCCCTTACTGGGGAGAAACCTCTAGTCACTGTGCCTTAGGAGAATGGAGCTGAGATGGCTAAGCGATGAAGCCCAGCAAAGACCACGAGATCAGTGGAGGCACAGCCGGCAGAGATCCAAGAGATAGATAGCAGCAGGCACACCAGTGGCACATTTGCCTGGTCAAGGCCAGTCCCAAGGAGGGAAGCGCAGTGGTTATCACCAGAAGATATTGGGTGGTCCTGCAACATAGGCAGCGTCAGTTGCTCTTCGGCGTCTGTCTTCTCTGTCTTGGCCACAGGTATTTCCTATCAGTGTCTTTATTTTGAACTAATTTGTGTCCTTTGAGGGGGAAAAGGACATTTGTTAGGGATCGTGCGTTGGAGGTAGTTAGTGGATTTAGTCCCATATTCTGCTTTGAACCTGGGGTAGTTTTCTGGGGGGAATGGTGTCACAAGTGGGAAAGGAGGATGGCCTAGCTGCTCTTCTAGTATGTTGCAAATGTATTTACTACGTAGCTCATATATGGCAAAACTACTAGACATAACTCGTCTTCTTGTCAATGAAAAGTGTATCTTAAGCATCTGCTATTTTCTGGGGATACAATGAAAGGCAAAATACAGTCCTTGCTCTCAGAGATTTCATGTGGTGAGAGGCAATATGCAAACAACGATGTACAGACAGATGTATTCAGGCTAAATTGGGGATAGTCAATAGAAGGAAGGCGCTATCATTAAGGGGGGGGGTCAGGAAAGGCTTATTTCAGAAGGTGGGATTTTGGGCTGAAACTTGAAGGAAGCCAGGGAGGCCAGGTAATGGAGATTGGGGGGGGCATTCTAGGCATGTAGGACAGCCATCCAGTGAAAATGCTAGGAGTTGGGAGATAGAGAGTTGCGTTTGAGGAACAGCAAGACCAGTGTCACTGGATCACAGAGTGTGTGTTGAAGAGTAAGGT